GCGGGGAAGTTCGCGCCCCAAAGTAACCGTGAAAACCGTGTCGACACGCGTGCACCGGCTAACGGTGGTATCTTTTCTTGTGTCTGCCCGGTAATTGCATCGAACTGCGCTTCTTACCGCGTCTTCGGGGCAACGCGTTCGTTCTTTGTAATTTGATAGACGGAAATATTCGACGATAAGCGGACAGACACGCGTCCCGACTTCGACAGAACAGATTGTATTGGAATTCGTTCAAAGATAGATAGACCACACACACCGCAGAATTTTGCTGCATATGCATCGCCGCGTGACTGGAACGGTACATCGATGAACGCGACTTCTTGCATCGTTCATCGTTGATTTTTCTTTCACGCGTCTCAATTTCATTCTGTTTCGTGATGGATAGAAAACAACTGATTCAAGGAACAACACTTCAAACAGAAAACGTGCAATTAAGATCTAACGACCGCGCCGAAACGATATCGTTAGCGTTTGCCTCTGGAATAACGCGCGAGCCTTTCGAAAACATGCCTATTCGATAATGCGGCGAGTGTTTTTATCGCGGCAGAAGTCGCCGTGATCCAGGTAAATGATCTCGGTGTCCGCGATTATATTTCCTTACTTGTCGCGCGCGTGTACGCATCGCCGTGTACTTTCGCCGGTTTCTTTAATCGCGCCAGCGTTTTCGTACTAATGGAATTTAATTGCCATGCGATATGCCTGTCGCGGTCGGCCAAATTTGTCCAAGAAGAGAATTACGGCGATAGGCGTGCGCTTTCGAGCAAGTTCGCATTCTTAAGGCGTAAGAAATCCAAAGAGCCACCTGTGGCTCGTGACTTGCAACATTGCCACCTGGAATGCATCATACGATTTGCTGCTGCGAGTAGACGACATCCCCTTATCTCGGCTGTGCCACGAATTCGCTGACGAACTTTCCTCGTCGCGGCGGCACCCGTTGTCCGTAAATTTATTCACGGAACGATAGAGACGATAGAAACGACGGTGGAATTCATCGAATTAAGAATCCTCCCGAATTGATCGGGTTCCGTTAAACCGTGTAGTCCGCGATTCGACGTTGAACGCCGAATGTCTGAACGTCAAATTAATCTGTCGGGTTGTCCGAGTAAAGGTATCACCACGCATCTTCCGCGAAAGAAACACCGAGGCTTTTTATCCGATCACGCCATATGCGATTAATCGTGGATATTTCGTAGGCGGTCATCTAACGGTCGGTACCCGCGTCTTTTCTACTTTCGCCCCGTGTGGCCTGGACGGTGTCGACGGGTACAGCTAGGGCCTACCTCAACGACAACGCTCGGCGACGGCGTTCCAACGAAATTCCTGAGAACCCGCGGCCGCGTGGAAAAAAGTAAGGCGTGCAAAGCCTGTGAACACCGGTGCAAGACGCATCTCTGCCGTTGGCCGGCAAGAAGATGCTGAAAAATGCGGTAATGACGCACTGTCCTCGCATTGCTTGCGACAATTATACCCCATTACGCCCGTCCCGCCACCCCCTTATCTTCCAGATCGTGTCCATGCCCGGACCGGAGCGCGTTGCGGTAGGTTGCGGTACACGGTAAGTATATACGTTCGTCGATTTATTATACGCCGTTTTCTGTCCATTTTTCCTCTATCCCAGCTGCTTACGTTGATCCTTAATTCCGCGGCAGTTTTGAATGTCACCGGTGAACTCGTCAATCGTGCGGCGAACGGCGAAACTTCAGCCGCTTCGACGAGTCGACGGTCTCTCCGTTGCAAACATATGTGGTTGCCTACAACCACACCAACTGGCGTGGGTTTTATCTGGACTGACAACGGTTATGGAGAGATTCGGAAACGCGTAATCCGTCACGTAAATGAGAACTAAATTTCTGAATACGATAAGGCAAGTTATCCTATTCGGCTCGAGTTTCGAAGGGAGTTTACGAAATTTTTGAATTGCACGAGAAGTATAGGAGATTCGTGGAACGCAACAATGCTGCTATATGTTTGAATGGTGAGTTACGTGTGGATAAAATGTTCTTTGTGATATCTTTGAAAGTAATAGTTTATGAAACGTTGAAAGTTTACCGATATTTATGCTATTAATGGAAGACTTTTTGATACTGCGAGTGTAATTGATGTATACGGGATTGAGAATAGCAAAGTATAAATGTACAGAGTTTAAATATTTACACATTTTTAGAGTCAATTTCATGAGAAATAAAGACTTATAAACTTTTTTAAACGATTAATCCTTGTTCTCTAAGTACGATGAATTTTGCGTATACGAATACTGAATAATCTCATACATGGCGGAATCTGTGGATGCCGAAGCTACAGGCGGCTCTACCTGTAGATTTAAGAATGATCAACAGGTGGGTGTGTTTCCAACGCACACGCCTCTTCGCTGGTCGCACACTTCCCACTGATTTTACAGATACTTCGCCGCAATGATGAATTTTCAATTCTGTTTAGAAGCAGACCATTCAGAAAATAATACGATACACATTACTATAACGCGCGAGAAATTTTTATAAAAACGTTCGATTCAACATTCGACGAGGACAATTACGAGAAGAATGACTAATG